AGGTAAGGTTTTTTCATGTAAGACGTTCAAATTTTTTATGCACTAATGTAAGATGGACAAATACCTAGTAAAGGCAAAATCTTCTATGATGATGCAGCAAGAATATTCAATGCTTTAAAAAATAGAAGACGTTAAAAATGTATTATAATAAAAGAAATGATTTTTTTTCCAACTCTATTTGTGTTTTTTAAGTTTTTGGAAATCTCACTTAACTTTCTGAAATCTCACCCTGTTTTTGAGAAAGAAATTCTCACCCATTTTTTTTCTATGATGAAAACACTGTTTAACTATCCATTAAATATAATTGTAAAACAAATATATTTCACAATATTTCCCTTAAAAATTTTATCTGGTTTTTCTTCCGGTGTGTTTCCTGGGAGATATTTTTAGGATAAAATTTCTATCCCGATTATAACTGACTCACCACTTATAAGAATACGAAATCATTCAAAGATTCTACTGAGACAATATTTAAAAATTGCACATTTTTGTTAAATTTAAAAGGAAAAAAAAAACACTATAATTTTTTTTGCTCTATATCATTAATCTAAGTATTTCTATGAAGAAATGTAGGACAGTTCCTGGCCAAAGTCTTTGTAAAAGCTTAATGATACTCTATACAATTTTATTGTTTTTAAGCTACGTTCGTCTATCAGTTGGTTAAATAAAACGATATATATTATATAAATATAGAATTATATCAGGTATTATATTATAATAATTAGACCCAATTATTAGACAAATTGTAGTTTTTTAATAATGACATGTTCTGCACGAGTTTTCTGTGCAATACTTTTATATTTAAACATGCATGTAATGGGTTTTTATTCAGGAGATTTTTTATATACTTCCTATTTGTATTTATTCTTAACGTACAATGTTAACTAATTGATACACGAACTTAAATAAGTGCAAACTGGTTTCATTCACGCAAAAAACAATAAAGCTGTAGAGTATCACCTGATATTTAAGATTTTACGTAGAATCTTATTGTGTGTCCAATAATTAGGGCAGGGGTTGTAAATCAAGGTTGAAATTGAATTATTAGAGGGTGGCTAAATATCCGGTAATTAACCGAAATACTGTCCCCCAAATAACCTGATTGCAACAAGAATGTGAAGTCACATTTGATTTTTGAGACGTCGATGTGTGGCTCTAAAATGTCCGCCTTTGGAGACGTTTTTCATCGCGGTGACTTCACCTTGTGACATATGACGATGTGACATATTCACATCTCAACAGAGTCACGAGGAGACCAAATTGTGTCATTTACGTCTCAATACGGTCCCCGTGACGTTACTGCGACAGTTGTGTCACATTGTGGTCTCGTGTTGACGTCTGGGTGACGTCAAAATGGTGACGTCCCTAAAGTAAACTTTAAAAACTCGCTCATCGATGTCGTAGAGGTCACATATGTGACTTCAAAAATGAATCTCCTTGAGTGTCTCATTTTTGCTGCAATGTGGTAATGGGTGCAATGTGATTTTGCTGCAATGGTGCTATCTGGAATGAAGCGATTATGTGCAAGGGGCACTAAAGGGTTAACCATTGGAAGGACTGGGAAAAGAATTTTATTAAAAAAACACAAAGTTATATGTATAAAAACATAAATACAAATTTTAAACTCCTTTTTAGGTTAATGTATGTAGAGCTTATTCTAAAGTAAACAACAACAAAAATTCATTATTTTCATCTAATTATTCTTAATTTTTTTCCTAAATGAAAGAATATTTAAATTTTGAAAACCTAAGTTTTTAAATTTATTTGAAAATCATCGTTTATTTCTTCGCGAGATATTTTGTTTGGGTAAATATGTATCTGTTTGAATAAATTTATTTCATTACTAAGTTAATAGTCACATTTAGAGTGTATTTAATTGTTTCATTGATTATATAAATGGCCCTTAACTCACTGCTTCCAACTTATCTTTTAAAGTGTCATTCTTTTTTTTCTCTAACAATGTCAGGTTGAAATATTTTTGAGATTAAAATCGATGTCGATTTAAAATCATCGCCTATTTTTTTGGAAAGTGGGTGGGATTTTTAAAATAATGCCTACTGTGACTCATAAATCAATCCGAATGACTAAAAATAAATTCGTACTCACCAGAGGCATGAAGAGAAATTGACAGAAAAATCCAATGGTTGGCCCATAAGGTCTCTTCAGAACTTTTCCAATAACATTCATATCCAGTTGTACTCCCATGTTGATGTAGTTAAAGGCAACAAGAGCTGCCATCAAACCAGTCACAATGTCTACCAGAATATTGTACTGTCGAACTACACTTACTTTCAAGTGCCATTCCTTGCTTTGATGTTCGTCTGCAATTTTCACGGTGACACTGGTATAACCGAGAAAAACTCCTCTGACAGTGAATGTATAATTCTTCAAACCTTCTCTAATTCGTTCGTCCATCAAGGTGGCATTCTCAATTTTAAGAATGTCCGGATTTTCAGACACCACGGATATTTGTACATCAACGTATTTTGCACCATTTTCCCATATTATTCCGAACGAAACATCCCGATTTTCGTCAACCAGAACACCTTTTAATTCATCCGGATAGAATTCTATATCAGCAGACAAGGAAGAAACTTTTGGAGAATGAAGAATCACTTCCGAAAAACAGGGTGAGAAATACGACACAATGATGAGGAGTTTAGCTATGGACATTTTAGTTCGCAAAATTCAAATTGAAGAATGATTTTGTGGTTATAATATTCTAGATGAAAAAGTTCTTTTCATTTCCGTTGACAATGACACGCCACGTTTCATTTCTATTATGAAAGTGCTACTTCTTACGGATTATTAAAACTTAATCCGACAATTTTAACTCATTTCGTAGAAAATAGTAGAGGATTTTGGAAGGACAGCACCTTTTGTTGATTTTACGAAGTGAGAAATCCCATTGAAGGTCGGTTTTCTCATTCTTTGTTTACTTACACAGAGATTAAACTCGATTGAAATTACTTTTATAAAATAAATGTCGCTCCGTCCGCCCGCATTCATCCTTCTCTGATCAGCAACAGCAATTTTGATAAGGAATTATTTTATGACAAATAAAAAATATACTTTGCTCAGCCGGTTTCTCCTTCACAAACAACTGTTTCACCGAGTCACGTGTCCTTCTTCCATTTTTTTTTCTCTTTTATTTGTGTTCTTTTTTAAATTTCGGAACGGGTGAAAGTGATGGAGTGCGTTATCTCTTCCGTGGAAGAAAGCAAACGATTTTTTTTAAGACACACCCTATTAAATTATGAAATAAATCATAGCGTCGTCATGCGTTTGAAATGTTTGTAGAATATTTTCATCTATTTATTTTTCAGTATGCAGTGAACCCGACTTTAAATGAGGAAGCATTTAACCTAGAGAAGAACTACTCTGTGACGTCACTTAGCTCTCTTCCTTTTTCCGATTTTAAACACATCACCTCTCATCTTACTTATATTTTATACAGGCATTCCTCTAAAAATTAAAAATTTACGCTATATNAAACTGTCAAAAACTGTCATATGTCAAAAACCTGCCAACCCAGATATATATATATATATACATATATATATATAGCGGAGGTTTAAAATAAAAAGAATTTGTATATTTACAAATTCTTTTTAAAATAAAAAATTCAATTCTATTTATAAGCAAAATTTAACTATAAATCTATTCAAACACACGTATCGCTGGCATTTTTTTTAATTTTATTGAGACCGATAATTTTGTTAAAGAATCTTAAAGTGAAGACTTATAGTTAGAATGATAATTTTAATTAAATTGTATCGCAATAATTTGAGAGAAAGATTTTGCGGAGTAGGGGAGAGTGGGGTCAATTGTAACAGGGTANAAAAATGTTACAATTGACACCACTCTCCCCTATACAAAACTCAAATTCGCTTTAAAACTCAACTAATGGTCAATTTAAAAAAATCTTCGAGATTTTCAATTTTTTCATATTTAAAGCCGTGATGGTTGTGAGGATAGAGCGTTCGCCTTCCAATGAGGTGAGCCGTGTTCGAATCCCAGCGATGGCTGGTCGATACGAATATTCCCGTTCTAGGAATCAATCTTAATGGTTCGAGGGGTGGCTTAAATATGATAATTGGTTAGTGCAGACGAGATTTTAAGTTACAAAATAAGACACGAAAACGTACTTTCTCTGAATAAACGAAAGTTTTTTTCCCGATGGATTTGGATTTCTAACCCCCAAAAGATAGGGGGACATTTGTGAAATAGGGTACCGATAAATGGGTCAGAGGAACGATCCAATGTTTCGGCCCTTAAAATTAATTTTACTTTTTGCATATGTCGAGATCTTTTTAAGCGAATTGGAAATTTTTTTTTTCACACAACTACAATCGAAAGATAATTCTATGTAAAAAATAACTTTCATATATTTTTAATAATATTAAATATACTTTTTTTTAAAACTTTTTTATTTAATAATAGTTGAAAAATTTCGAGTACAATCTGAAATACAAGCTGTAATTTTAAAAAATTTGATCGAAACGGATTGAGTAGTTCCTGAAAAATAGATTTTCAAAATGTAACTTTTTTGAAATTTGATTTTTCTCGAATATTGTATTTCACCCTGTTAAATTGCATTCTTTTTAATAATGTGAAGAAAAAAAATATGTCGAATGGCGAATTACGCAAAAGTAAAATTTGCATTACGGGCTTCAAACATTCGCTCTCCTGACCAAATTATCGTGACCCTATCTCATAGAAACGCTCTCCCCTAAGAAAAAAAAGAAACTAACTTGATTTATCAAATCTGTTAGCCTAGCGATTGAAAACAAAGAATTATTCACTAAAAAACTATTGAAGAAGAAGGTGAAGTGACCTACTTTCAGAAGTAGGCGTTCAAGGTCTAGAACCACTTTCTTGAGAGAGAGAGAGAAAGGGAACATTAAAAAACAAATGAAGACCACAGTTGGTCACGATTCCTGTGAGTATAGGTCATGAAAAGTGGCAGAATCTTTTTCACTTCCGCATTTAATAAAAATCAATTAAATAGACTAATGCTATTTATTTATTTCAGATAACGAGGAAGTTTGCTTTAAAAGATGAACATCATTGTTCTTAGAGTAACAAAATATAATAACAATGAATTTTGTTTTGCTTTGCACGCATTATAAATTTGAATCCACATCTAAATAAGTTATTGCCTAACCGCTTCTCACAAGAAAAAATTTAAAACAATATATTGTATTTCATTAATAAATACAAGGAACCAAAACAAAACATGATACGCAAGTTTTAAGTTGAAATTTAATTTCTTTTTCTTGTGTGTAAAAATCACTTAATTTACCATCAATTTACTATCTCGGTCAAATGAAAAAAGTTAAATATGAGTCTTTGCATATGTTCACATCTTCATCATCTGAAAAATCATCTGCATTACTTTCACTTTTTTTTCTACTCTAACATTTATTTTGAACTTTTTACGTAAAAATATAGGTAAATATAATTTCAAAATATATTTTTTTTATATAAGTTTGGTAATTCGAATCAGTTCATATAGCGAGGACGCACCTTCTGTTAATAATAATTCTCCATATTAATTATAATTTCTGAAACTCAATAGATGGCGCTCTGCGCAGTAATGTAAAATCATTAGTTTTCTAATCAGTTTCCTCTATGACACTGTACCATTATCATCATCCTTTTGTTATTAAATATATATTATGTTAAAAGGCGTTTGTTATGATTGAAACCCCGAGATCTGAGATCATATCACCGTATTTAATATTGGCGCCCAACGTGGGGCTCGAACCCACGACCCCGAGATTAAGAGTCTCGTGCTCTACCGAATGCCAAAAAAGATCGAAACTGTCCTGAAACCAAAATTGATACCTTCCATCAGGGATCTCTTCCCCAACAACGAACCATTTATTTTTCAGCAGGATTCAGCTCCATGCCACACAGCCAAAGCATGCTTTCAAAATAAAGGCATAGATATATTACCATGGACAGGAAACAGCTGATCTCAATCCAATCTCAAACAAACTGATCTCAATCCAATTGAAAATTTGTGGCGACGTTTGACAATTCTTGTAAGAAAAAAACGTCCATCCGATAAAAGACATTTTATTGAAGCTATAATTGATTCTTGGCACCATGTGGTTACGAAAGATAAACTCCAAACACTCGTTCACTCGATGAAAAGACGCTGTGAAGCTGTCTTAAAAATTAAGGGTTATGCTACTAAGTATTGATTGTGTAAGTATTACTTTAAAAAAATGCAAATCTAAGATAGATCTTACTATTAATTGCATAACTTTTTTTGTAATACAGATATTGTAATACTGTATTTATTATTAAATTCTGCATTAAATTACCTTCAATTT